CCGTGAGCAATCTCCCAACTCATCTCTGGTTTCAACTTGTTAAAGTGAACGAAAAGGGATTTGAGTGTGATTGAGTGACAGACGATCGATGGTCGCTTACTTTTGGTTACAGTCGCTTATCAAAAAGAATAATGTTTGGCTAGAATGGTGGAACCGTGTGGAGGTTAGAATCGGCACAATGCTGCGTGGCAAAAGTTGTTGAAGAAAGGGATGATAAAAAACAGCCAATTCTCCTAGAAAGCGAGGTTACGAAACGTTTATCTCGATTGTTCATTATTGTTAAAGAGCGGCAAGAAAATGAAAGTGCGATTTAACACGTACGACCTCGTGTGCTCCATTACGGAGCTACAGAGGTATGTAAAATGGATAATCGCATTTAATGTAATGTGAGATGGAGGATTTCATTTAGGTTAAGCCTGCCTTGACTAGATTTTTTTTCTCCTCGTTTAACTTCTATACATTTCTCTACCTCAGGCTCGTTGGAATGCGAGTAAACCAAATATATGACATCGATCATCGTACCTACCTTATACGTCTGCAGCGCAGCGAGGAAAAATGTATCTTATTACTTGAATCTGGAAACAGAATTCATACGACCGCGTTCGACTGGCCAAAAAATGTTGCTCCTTCTGGTTTTTCAATGAAGGTATGTACTTGATGATATTGAAATTCTGTTAGAAATTCTAAATTTCTTAAACTTTTATTATAATTATTATTATAGATGCGGAAACATTTAAAAAATAAACGGTTAGAAAGTCTCACTCAAGTTGGCGTGGATCGAATTCTAGACTTACAGTTTGGAATCGGTGAGGCTGCTTATCATATTATCTTGGAATTATATGATCGAGGCAACATCGTCCTCACTGACTATACCATGACAATACTTAACATATTACGACCGCACACTGAAGATGACAAAATTAGGTATGTTTCGTATGTGAAAATACTTCAGTTACGTGATCAAATTATTCATGGTTTTACATCAAGTATCACTTTTACAGATTTGCCGTTAAAGAGAAATACCCATTAAATCGTGCACGCCAATGTGCCATACCTTCAATGGAAGAAATTGAAAGAGCTATAAAGGAAGCCAAAACTGGTGACAATTTAAAAAAAATTCTGAATCCCCGAGTAGAGTTTGGTCCTGCCATAATAGATCATATTTTGCTGAAAGTCGGCTTGCGAGCAGGCTGTAAAATTGGCAAAGATTTTAAAATTCCTGAAGATATGCCAAAGCTAACGTCGGCTCTTGAACTTGCGACTGAAATATTTGATAATGCACGAAAAAATGTCTCCAAAGGATATATTATTCAAAAGAAGGAAATCAAACCTTCAACTGATGGTACGGAAGAATACATATTTGCCAATGTTGAATTTCATTCAATGTTGTTTGAGCAGATTAAAGATCAGCCATACAAAGAATTTGAGACGTTCGATCTAGCAGTCGATGAGTATTTCTCAACTATGGAAGGTCAAAAGTTGGATTTAAAAGCACTGCAACAGGAAAGAGAAGCTGTTAAGAAATTAGAAAACGTTCGTAAGGATCATAGCTTAAGATTAATTGGTTTAGAAGAATCTCAGGAATTAGACAAAATAAAAGCAGAGCTGATTATGCGAAATCAGACCCTCGTGGATAATACGATAACAGCTATTCGGAGTGCCCTTGCAAATCAGATATCTTGGTCGGATATTCAAGTACTCTTAAAGGAAGCTCAAAGCAAGGGCGATTCTGTAGCATTGACTATCAAGGGATTGAAATTAGAAACCAATCATATTACAGTGTTGTTAAGTGATCCGTATGAAGATGGTGATGAGACAGATACAAAATTACCTCCAACATTGGTTGATGTTGACCTGGCTCACCATGCTTATGGCAATGCAACTAAATATTTCAACAAGAAGAGGTCGGCGGCAAAAAAGCAGCAAAAAACTATCGAGTCTCAATGCAAGGCTCTCAAGTCTGCCGAAAAGAAAGCCAAACAAACCTTAAAAGAAGTACAAGCAATACATGGCATTAACAAGGCAAGGAAAGTTTACTGGTTCGAGAAGTTTTACTGGTTTATTTCTTCAGAAAATTATCTAGGTTAGTTTTCGAACTCGCAGTATGTGCAATTCTTTTGTATATGTATATTTGTGTTACATTACTTTCATTTATGCATTCTTCAGTAATTGGTGGAAGAGACCAGCAGCAGAACGAATTAATTGTCAAGAGATACCTGCGGACAGGAGATTTATACGTGCATGCAGATTTAACCGGTGCTAGCTCCATTGTGATTAAAAACCCTTCTAGTGATCCGGTACCACCGAAGACTCTAGCAGAAGCAGGAACTATGGCTGTTGCATACAGGTAAATGATTCCATAATTCTTAAATTGAAATTACCATTTTTAATGTCGAAAATATCATTGAACTTACGCATTACTTTTCATCTGATAGCGTTGCTTGGGAGGCAAAAGTTGTAGTAGGAGCGTGGTGGGTAAATAGTGATCAAGTATCAAAAACTGCTCCAACTGGTGAATATTTGACCACTGGTTCCTTCATGATCCGTGGAAAGAAAAATTATTTACCTCCATATCAACTGGTAATGGGGCTAGGATTCCTATTCCGTTTAGAAGATAGTTCCATCGAACGACACAAGGATGAAAGGAGAGTCAGAACTACGGATGAAGACAGTGGAAATGTAGAGTCTGCAGAATTTGATAAAGAGATAGAATTGGAAGGAGACTCGGATGATGGTAAGTCACTTCTAAACTTTCTATCTATATGACAAGTTAAAAACGAAAGTGTATAAATAAAACCGTGCATATAATTACATTAATTTGTTGGTTATTTATACAGATGATTCTATCGATAAAACTCCATTAGAAACAATCGAAGAGGAAGGAGTGGAAACTGAGCGAAAAATCGATGAGCGTAACAAAGGTGTTGATCTTAAAGATAATATTGATGAACAGACCGAACAATTGTATCCAGATACTCAAATTAAAATCGATCTCTCTGGTCCAAGGTACATTTTATTTTACTGATTATTAAATGATCTTTTAAAGATGCATTCTAACGTACCTGTTTAATTTCCTGCAGAATGAAAATCCAAGTGGACAATAAATCCTTGATTACTACACAAAATCAAGAGCACGATATCGAAGACAAGGAAGGGAACGTATTTTATCTCGGCGATGATAAACCGATTACACTAAAGCCTAACGTAAATAAGAAGAAAAAAAGCCCTGCCAAAGTGCACTGGGCTGATAAAGGCGAAGAGAAAAACGAGAAACAGACCGGGGAAAACAAACCGAATGTACTGAAACGTGGGCAGAAAGGAAGGCTGAAGAAGATGAAGGAAAAATACAAGGATCAGGACGAAGAGGACAGACGTTTATCGATGGAAATATTGAAGGTGGATAATTCATGTTTTACTTTTAATTAGTATTTTTATTTCTTCATATACGTTTGAAGTGAACACTTTGACAGCCATGAATGTTTTAGTCAGCTGGCGCGGCTAAGGAAGACAAACGTAAGAATGCCAATAAGAATGTACATGGATCCAAGCAACAGGGGAAAAAAAAGAACGCACATCCAAAAGTAGAGGTAAATAAGCAAGTAATTCCGGAAGGCGATCAGGCCGAAGAAGAAGACGCAGGACCAGGTCCGGACGTCGACATGTTGGATCAACTTACAGGGAAGCCTGTTCAAGAGGATGAACTATTGTTTGCCGTTCCAGTTGTGGCACCCTATAATACTTTGCAGAGCTATAAGTAAGCCGAATCGAGCAGCCGAATTCGTCAAAATCAATATCAGTGTTTAAACAACTTACTTTGACCTCAGGTTCAAAGTCAAACTCACTCCGGGGACGGGCAGACGAGGAAAGGCGGCGAAAACAGCGGTCGCTGTTTTCCTTCGAGATAAAGTCATCACACTTCGAGAGAAGGATTTACTAAAGGCTGTGAAAGAGGAGTCGATAGCGAGGAACATACCAGGAAAAGTGAAAATAAGTGCTCCTCAGATACAGAAGCTTAGGAAATGATAGAGATTATTTATTAACGACGGTCGTAGGGCGATGTTCTTCCCTAGGTAACATCATTAATCCTCTGACAACATGGGCCTCGATTCTCAAGGAGTACATTATTTTTTGTCTTTTTCAGATTACAATTTCTCTTGACATAGAACCGCTGTAAAAAAAATTCTTGATTTTCATTCTCTTTTTACATTATTTTCGGTCGAAAGGGACGAAGAAGGACCGAGGCAAGCGGATGTGATCTCCAGACTAGAGAGGCTCGACCTTTCTAATTAACAAAGAAACTATACGTACTAGAAACGTAAATTGATTACTTTCTAAACAGCCTCGAATAAGCGCAAGACTAAACTCCCAAAGTGTTAACAGAAAACAAACATGTATATAACTGTACAGAGTGGTGCGCAAATAATGTACGAGTGAAATTATGCGTCGAAGTCGAACGTTGGTGAACGCGTCCACGCCGGCGGGTTCTCTTTCATGTACATACATAACATGCGTAAAGGTTTACACATTCGATGTCGCAATTATTGCGAGTCTTCTTCAAAATCCGCCAACATTTCGACATCCCGGTTACGCAAATTTGGACGGTAGGAGGCCGTGCCTCAGGCGATCGACACCTCGAAGGTGTTACTTCGCGCGACAGTTATCAGTGATACGGCGAGCTGATAAATCTCGGTCGGTAAAGAGGAGTTTTCGAAATCGAGCGTCGCGTCGCGTCGTTCCGCTGGCGAGATCGCAAGAAAATCAAGAGGGAAGAGGGTCGACTCCGCGAAGCGTTTCCGAGGGTCTTCGTGCACCTCTCTCTAGCTTCCTGGCTCCACGTTGGGCGGTCGACGGCGCGTAAACAGAGGGGCCTGGATAAGCGTTCGTAATCGGACATAGGAGATGGAGAGGCGGAGTCGCGATTCGCCGAGGGTGCCGTTATCGGCGCGGCCCAATAACCGGCGGCGCGATAACGAGGTACATCGGTCTAAGAGCGCCGGGCGACTCCGGTTTCCTCGCGGCTTCCTTCTCTCGCTCCCTCCACCGCGGTATCGTCCGCCGTTTACCATCCCCTCCTATCGAATCGGTCTCTCCCTCTTTCCTCCTCTTTCTCCCGGCCTCTCCCGCTTTCTTCCTGCCCCCTCCGCCGGCCGCGATCTCGCCGGTTTTTCAAAATACGCTTCTATGACTCTTTTTGTGTTCAGTAGAGCCGCGGACACCCAGAGAGGAACAGCCGGGGAGGGAGAAAGAGGGAGAGAGAGCAGAAGGCCCGCGCTTCCGCGTTAGTTCGCCGTTAGTGTACCGTTTCGCTAATTCAACCCGAGTCGTCGCTCCTACGAGGTAGGTGCTTCGTTCCACCCTCTCGCCGTCCGCGATACACCCTCGCGACTGATCCACGGGGGGGGAGGCAGAGGTGTCCGACACCGGAGCGGCTCTTCGAGCGCAACCGTGAACACTTCTAGGGCCACCAGGGCTGTTTTTCGAGCTCCATCGTGAACACTTTGCTAGGGCCACCACGTCTGCCCCGCGAGAGCCATTGCTACTAGTTTTCGAACCCCATCGCGGACACCTTTCGAGGGACCAAGGGGTAACCCTTCGAACACCACCGCGGTCGCTCTCCTATGACGAGAAAAAAGAAATTCATTGAACCATAGAAATATGTCTTTGAATAGTACCAATGAAATATTTTGTTAATCCAATGTAGAATTGTTTGACTCAAATGACTTCGATGCAACCTTACTTCGGGATTACGACAATTTATTTGAAATTATTTGAGTGAAATAATTTTTCTTTGAATGAATACAATATTGCTTTTGGTTGAATGAATTCTTTTTCTCAGAGTAGAGACACCTCGCTGTTCCTCGGTGACACCGCGGTCGTTCTCCTAGGACCACCGCGCTGCTTTTTAACCCTTTCGCTACGACGGGTGACTATAGTCACCGTACGTTTGGTCCACTATTGCCTGCACGGTCAGACGAATTTCGCCCATATGTCGAAAAGGCTACGTGTTCAAAGGGTTAAGCGCCACTGTGGTCGCTCTCTTAGGGCGTCATTGTGGTCGTTTTCCTAGGACCACCGCGCTGCTTTTTAAGCGCCACCGTGGTCGTTCTCCTAGGACCACCGCAGTACTCTTCGAGCATCACCGTGGTCGCTCTCCTAGGGGCACTTCGACCACCACCGCGGTTGCTCTCCTAAGGCCACCGTGTTGCTCCACCGCGGCGAGACCGTTTCCGCTCCGACTGGCGTGGTGCGAGCGCGCGAACTGGGGTAGGAAGGCACCGAGTCGCGGCGTCGACCTTCGCGCCGCAATCGAACCGTGGAATATCGCTCGGCCGACCTCGGGTCCTGAATGGACCGTTGCTTCCTCCCTTCTCGATAGGCATCCTGGGGGATATAGGTAACTACCCAGCCCGACCGCGTCCAGAGGGACGACGAAGCAGCGACCGTGTGACCCATTTGTTAATCGCGCGCTTGTATTTACTTACGTCCGATAACGCGTGGCGCCGCGATATATCCTCTCTCTCTCTTTCTCTCCCTGTTTATGCGCTTTTCCCGCGAGAATTACTCTTTGCGGCGCGGTCGCGGCCGGGAGATACGCCGAGGCTCGCCGAAGCATGCTGGAAGTCGCGCAGATATCTCGGCTCGTAATATCGGCCGGATGAGAGCTCGCGCCTCGCGTTGCGTCGCGATATCGGTAAACACGCTCCTTTATGCGCGGCTCCGAGGTTACGAGACACTCGCGGCGACTCCTAGCGTGGTCACGCGTCCTCTTCGGCCGCGTCGCCCCCTCGGAAGTCGGATTCCTTCCTGTCTCCCGAAAGCGGCAAACAGAAGGGCGCCGGCGAGTCGGTTCGCGGGATTTGTCTTCGGATTGCCGTTACTTCTCGAAGCCGGCTCCCCTTTTTCTTTTTCTTCCTCTTCGAGTCAAAGACCTAGCCGTCGTAGCGGTCCCGACGCGGAAATGGTTGACTCCCATTGACGCCGCGGATGGATCCGTTCGGGACGCTCTGCATCCTTTTGTACGAGGGGTGGGATGGGAGGTTTAGAATGTCAAATTTTAAGGTCGGAGATGATCTGGCGACCTGGACGCCGTGACGGGATGTCCTATAACGAGCGATATTTTCTGGCTGTTTAAGGTGATATGAAAGGGTCCTTCTATGTACATATACATAAAATGTGAAAATTTGTATAAAACCTTTCACCCGAACTGGGTGTACCAAATCAAGTTTGATACGATTCGGTACATCCAGTTCGAAGAAAAGTTTCATAAACGAGATTCTTTTTGATGTTACTTTCGCGTGCCCTTTCTGTTCACTGCTCGGAGGAACAGCCTTAGTTTACCCTTAACAAGAAACTCGGTAGAGTTTCGAGCCAAATACATTTTTGAGCGAAAGACGCGCCCTGCGTGTTGAGTTCGAGCGACACGCTACAGAGTTATATACAGTAAGGTCTGCTATTTAGGACATATGTACGTCTTCGTCGGGAGTAATTTGTGGAATAGGGCTGCCCATGAACCTCCGATTATTTTACCTTTGTTCCTTTATAAATATTCTCTTCACCTGGTGACCCGGTCCGACCTGGAAGGCGGAGGGCGGCCTCTCGCCTCCACCCTCATCTCGAAGGGCCGATTTCCCGGCGACGGAAAGTGGCCGATGCGAGGATGAGTGAAATGGATCGGGTCTGGCGACGAGGAGATGGTATCTTCCCGTTATGCTCGTGGAACTCGGATCTCGGTCCCGGATCCCGGGGGAGGAGATAGACGCTTGAGATTCGTCCGTTTGCAGGGAAATCGCGGCGAGTTCTGCCATGCTGCTGTCCGGTGTCTGGTTCGAGGCGATCGCCGCGGCGCTTTTCGCCGTCCTGCTCCTGGTCACGGGATACAGGCCACCCTGGTGGTTCTGGACGGGAACACCCAACCAGGCTGGTGAGTTTTAACTTCCGGGCGCAAGATCCCCAGGGGTATATAGGGAAGGCACCCTGGGAATGGTTTCAAGATAATGTTTTGGTGATTAAAAGAATAATTAGTTGACTCGAATAAAATCATATCAATTGGCATCATTTCGAAGGAACGTTGCGTTCGATTTATTCGATTTCATTTCGGTCAGATTATTATTCTTTTCACCAGAGAGATATTTTTTGTTAATTCAAGAAATAATTGTTATTGTAATTAATAGAATGTTTCTTTGGATCAATGACGTTTCTTTTTTTATTCTCGGTGCAAGGCGTCGATTTGGCGAGTTTTTGTTAACTATATGTTTCGCGATTCGCGTTTCAGCCGCCTCGAGCGACAAGGCAGCCAGGCCCAGGAAAACCGTCAAGGATGTTCCTGGACCTCTTCCTCTCCCCGTCCTGGGCACCAGGTGGATCTTCTCCTGGTTCGGCTGCTACAGCATGAACGAGATCCACGTCGCCTACAAGGGTAAGTTGCGTTTCTTTGGACATGGGTCGATCGCTCATCTCTCTTTGCTTCGTTTTACCGGTGTTTGAAGTATAGTAATTTGAAGCACGTGACATGCTAGAACTCAGCCCCAGCGATATTAAGACGTTATTAAAGGGTTATTCTACATATACCAAGACATGAAAATATTTATAAAACTTTCCTCCAAATTTCATTTAAAAAAAGAAAGATACGTTCTTGGGTCTAATCTTGGATGAATAAAAAAGTTTCTGTAGAAAAAAAATTAAATTTCAAGAGATGCCACTTTCACATCCCCTTAACACCTTAATGTTTCAAATGATTCGGTGCTATCAATTAGGAGGAAGGGTTTATAAATATTTTAAGATGCTTCATTTCACAATAATTGAAGATACAGAGTTTGATGTTAGGTGTAACCTTGGATACAGTGAGTATAATGCATGATTTGAGTTTTATAAATTTCGCAAGAACGGGACGAGATGAATTTGTTGTCCGGGTTTCTCTTCCTAGTTTTATCATCCGGACCGATCGGGTCCACGATCCTTGTTCTAGCATCGCCGATGCAAGCTCTTATGGCATCGGCTTCGATGGCTATTAACCGTGCTCGTTCTTCGGGCGAGTCATCGCGGCTCGTAGAAAAAAGGCCGCGAAACGGCGGAAGAAAGGCGAGGCGGCGATCGCGAGGATCGATTTCGATCGCGGTTCGTTGCGCTTACGGTAACACGAGAAACTAACGACCGCACTCAGGAGTCCTTAATCGCGCCGTTCGAATCCCCACGCTTTGCTATTGCTATCCTCGGGGGAAACAGGCTAGGAGGCAACAAAGGCAGATTCAAACATGGGAATAAAGAGATGTCGAGAAGAATGAATCCTTAGAAAGAATTCCTTGAAGAGTGAAGAGTAATCGCACTAATTTCAGATGAAGAGGAAAGGGTATCTTGTGGTTTCAGGTGATGGGCTCCATGCCCACGTGATTAAATTTCAAACGATTCGGTGCAATCAATTCGGAGAAAAGCTTGATAAATATGTTGACAAACAACTTGGCGATATGAAACTGGCATCTCAGGAGTCTTGTTTCCGAAGCTTTTCTACGAATTGAGGGTATCGAGTGTTTTGACATTTTTCCACGTGAGGGTGGGTTCTACCCGTTCCTAGGGTGGGGTCCTTGGAGAGGACCCGACACCCGTGAAGTTTCATCTATCATATAAAATAGATAATTGTTATGTTCCTCTTGAAAATGAAATTTCATGAGTTTCGGGATGCTCGCTAGGGCCTCCATAATCATTTAAAATTTAAACCGATTACCCTTAACCAGTTAACTGTGTCGACCTATTTGAAACGTGTGTTTTCATGACGAGTATACTCGTCAATCACAGTTAACTGGTTAAAGAAAATATTTATAATTCGAATCGAGTAATTTGCCTTGACTTTGCCGCGACTAACCACCTTGGCGCGTCTGACTCGCAGATCTGAACCGGCGATTCAAGCCGAATACCCTTAAGGTGATATGAAAGTGGCGTCGAAGAGGTTTTGTTTATAAAACTTTTCTCCCAACTCGGTTTACCGAATAGTTCGAAACGTTGCAACGTGAATAGGGAGACTATAAGGAAGGTCCTGAAACTCATGAAATTTCAATTCTTTTCAAATTTGTGTATAGGTATTTTTAAAATAATTTATAAAAAATGAAATTTCGCGAGTTTCGGGACCTACCTTAGGATCTCCATATTCACGTTTTAAAGTATGAAACGATTTGAGACACCCAGTTCGTAAAAAAGTTTTATGAACGATTAATCTTTCGGATGCCACTTTCACATCCCCTTGAAGAGCAGTCTAGTTCGAATCGGCTAATTTGCGATGGTTTCATATCACCTTGGCGCGTCTGACTCGCAGATCTGCACCGGCGATTCGGGCCGCTCTGCAAGGAGGAGGCGCTCTGGAACTGGCCGATAGTCTCGGTGTTCTCGCGGGAGGACATCGAGGCCGTTCTGAGGCGCGGCTCTCGCTTCCCCCTGCGCCCTCCCCAGGAGGTGATCTCCCATTATCGGCAATCGAGGCGGGACCGCTACACCAACCTCGGCCTCGTCAACGAGTAAGGAGCCGGAGGCCTCGCAGGGGGCCTCCTCGTTGCACGTTACCCTCCGTCCTTCGAGGTCAGGTCTCTTATCGGTCGCTTATCGCCCGCCAGGCAGGGACTAACGTGGCAGAGACTGCGCGCTGCCCTCACCCCGGAGCTGATGGGAGCCAGCACCGTCCTGGGCTTCCTTCCGGCGCTGAATAGAGTCACCGATGACTTCGTCGACCTGATCCGGAACAGGAGGACCGGGACCGCCGTTCACGCCTTCGAGGAGCTGGCCTACAGGATGGGCCTTGAGAGTAAGTATCCTTTCCACCTCGATTTATAACCTCCTACCTCTAACAACAGTTTACTTGATTATTTTCAATACAGCTTTTGATGGGACTTAATATATTATAAAAGGGTCATTCTATATATAAATATATCAAAACGTCAGGATATTTATAAAAATTTTCTCCAAACTGGATGCACCTAATCGTGCCTAACTTTATAATGTGAATATTGAAACTATAAAGAAGGTCTGGCACCCATGAAATTTCATTATTTATAACAGATTTTATAAATATCAATTAACAAATTTGAATAAAAATTGAAATTTCCTGGGTGTCAGGACTTTCCGTAGAGCCTCTATATTCACATTGTAAATTTGGAAACTATTCGGCAGATGTCGTTTGGAAAAAAAGTTTTATAATCGAAATCGCTAGATTCACCTTTCACATCACTTTATACGTGTCGTGAGAGGGTTGGGGGTACATTAGAGATGGCGATTTTCAGGTACGTGCATGCTGATCCTCGGCCGCCATCTTGGATTCTTGAAGCCCGACTCCGGCTCGCTAACCGCCAGACTAGCCGAAGCCGTGAGGGTCCACTTCAGGGCCTCGCGAGACGCTTTTTACGGCTTGCCCTTGTGGAAACTGCTTCCAACGGCTGCATACAAGAGTTTGATTGAGAGCGAGGATACGATTTATAAGTGAGTAGAGAAATATGAGACCGAGAAGAGTGGTACTATCGAAGGGGTGTCTTTCCCAGCATCATTTCGGAGCTAATGGAGACGACGCTTTGGGAGCAACAGAGCGACGCCCCCGATAGCGGCGTCGAGGCCGTCTTCAGGTCCATCCTGCGCGAGAAGAACCTCGACATTCGGGATAAAAGAGCCGCCATCGTGGACTTTATAGCCGCTGGTATACACACGGTATGAATAGACGTTTGCACATGGTATGCACTGAGAAAGAAAAAATTACATTGAACCAGAGAAATATTTCTTTGAATGGTAGCAAAGAGATATTTTGTTAATTCACAGAATAATGATTTGATTCAAATAAACTCGAACGAATTGGACGCGACGTTTCTTCGGAATATTGACGGATTTATTTGATTTTATTTGATTAAAATGATTATTCTTTGAATTAACAAAATATTTCGTGCTTCATAGACGATGGACCAGCAAAACAACGATGGCCAAGGTCCCGTTTTGGCGATCGCGTCAACGATTTCATCTCTTCTTGTCGCAGTTGGGTAATACCCTGGTGTTCCTGCTCTACCTCGTGGGAAGGAACGCCCGGCTGCAGAAGCGCCTCCACGAGGAAGCGATCTCGCTGGCTCCACCAGGGTGCGACCTCACCGCTGAGGACCTTCGCGGAGCCAAGTACCTGCGAGCCTGCATCACCGAGGCTTTTAGGTACACTTTGGCTTCCTTTTGGTGAACCCTGAACGACTTTTGGTAAACCCTGGACGACTTCTGAAGACACGAACACTCGCGGCGACTTTTCTATCTGTCGCGTCTCGACTCTGCGTGTCGGAGTCTCTCTTAGGTCGAGGAGGTCCGAGAGATATTTTTTATGGCGCCGATCGAAGTCTAAGGTGCATTCGGAAATATACACTGGTGGACGAGAATCCACTTGTGCATCTTGTGCTAACTGCGCCGCTTCCGAGGAAAAGACAGTCCACCGGGGTACTTCTTCGAGCGCGTTGATTAATTATCGCGTCGTGGCGGTTTCTTCTGACTTTCTGCAAATTTTTTTTGGTTGTGGAAAATTTTTTCCTCGATGCCGACGATCGACGATTTACACAGTAAATATCATCCGTTATCTCCGCACGTGGCACGGGAACGGAAAGATCACGGCAGATTTGAAACTCCCAGACTGTTGGCATTACTTTCTTCATTGACTCTCTCTCTCTCTCTTTCTTTCTTGGCAGAGTTATCCCGACAACTCCCTGCATCGCGCGAATTTTGGACGAGCCCATCGAACTGGCGGGCCACTATCTCAATGCCGGGGTAAGCTGATTTGGTCTTGACTCGTAAGGTGGCCAGAATTTGAAAGTGGCCTAGAACAGTTTTGATTAATTAATTTAATTAATTAAAATGCCCATTTCATTAGTTAATTTAAATAAAATAAGACGTTTTAATTAATTTGTACCAATTAAGCCATTTTCATTGATTTAAATTAATTAAGATGAATAGAATTGTTCTCGAAAGGACGTCTAATAACCTTACGATTCATACGTTCCGACTTTTTTTTTTCCTGCACCGTTCTATTTTGTACATCATTTTACAATTGCAGACCGTTGTTTTACTGCACACCTGGATAGCAGGTTTGGATGACAGGAACTTCAAAGATGCCTCAAAATGTATCCCGGAAAGGTGGTTGAAACCCACCGTTCCTCATTCTCCTCTCCTGGTGGCGCCTTTCGGTAGCGGCCGACGAATATGCCCTGGAAAGCGATTCGTCGAGCAGACTCTCCAACTCATTCTTGCAAAGGTAAATCTTTATTCCAGCCTCTATTCGGCCCTTAATCCTGAAATCCTCGATCAGGTTTAATTGTGGCCGAGGAGTGTACTGATATGTCACCGAGTTTCGAGATTTCCGTAATATGTTCTTATCGCACGTGTTGATGATACAAGGCTGCTCGCTAAAAATATCCAATCGGAACTGATTGCTTTACGTAAAACTTATTTACGATCGAACGTAGAAAATAATGGGCTATACTTCCATCGGTTGCACCGTTCGCTCTTTAAGTTTGACTTTTTTTTAGAGATGATTGTGTGCTTAAGGTGTTACGAAAGTGTTTATACATAAAATGTTGTATTTATCCAGGATGAGAGCCAAAATGAATTTTTCCTTCGAAAACTGAAATTTCGTGAGTTTCAAGACCTCAATTAGGACCTGCATAATATGTATTATATGCATTATATATAATGAACCTTTCATATCACCTTAAATAAAACTACTTTTCAATCGTAAACCCAGTATCGTCAATTTTTGGAGGATTCAGGATTCATTAATCGTCTTCGCCAAAGAATAAAAAGAATGCAGAGAATAAAACTTTGAGCCTTTCTCGATTTGCTTGTCGAGTTATGGAACAATCCAGAAATAGGCATTAATTGCATTTTAAATTAAATCAACCGGTTTCACGCAGATTTCATATCAACTCGCACTTGGTCGCTATCTTCTGCAATGGTGAATGTCTGAACAAACAAAGCATTCACTATGGAACTGCTCGTTCTTAGTACATTTTTTTTTTCTCTCAGTTCGATGGAATACAGGTCGACTAAGTACTCGTCGGCTCAGGTCGAGATATGGGAATCGTTGATGTCGTTTAAGGTGATGTGAGAATTGAAGGGGTCATTCGTTTATGAAACTTTTCCCCAAACTGGATGTACCGAATAATGTTAAACTTTAACACGTGACTATGGAGGTCCTGATGAAGGTCTCGAAACTCCCGAAATTTCCTATTTCGAATAACAATTTTCTATTTATTCCGGGCAAGAACCAGAAAACGACATTTATTTGAAATTTATGAATGAATGAATGAATGAATTAATGAACGAATGAATGAATGAATGAATGAATGAATGAATGAATGAATGAATGAANAATGAATGAATGAATGAATGAATGAATGAATGAATGAAAATTATGAATGGTATGAATATGGAATTGACCGAAAGATGAAATTTTGCGAATTTCAAGGTTATCATTGGGACCTCTGTGATTACGTGTTAAAGTTTCAGATAATTCGGTATATTTAGTTTGGAGAAAATTTATGTATATACTTTGACGTTTTAAAATATATATTCAGAAGGATCCGTTCATATCACCTTAATAGCTCAGGTTTAGTTCATGGACTCTTTTTTCAGGTCGTTCGAGAGTTCGAGATCGGTGCCGAAGAGGAGTTAGGTTTACAATTCGAATTCATCCTTGCGCCCAAAGGACCCGTTTGTTTATCGTTCCGAGATCGTTCGGAAAGACTGTAAATCGTTGTTTTATACACTCGAGTGATAATCCTTGGAACGTCGAGAGACCAATGCGCGAATCGTTTGGCAATTTTAGGAAGATGGCATCTCGATTGGACCGGAATGTCGGAGAACTCTGTTTAAGGTGATGCGAAATTAGCATCCAAGTAGTCTTGTTTATGGGACCTTTTTCCGAACCGGGTGTACCGAATCATTTGAAATTATACCTCGTGAATATAGCGGCCCTAATAAAGGTCCCGGTACTTTATACAATTTCCAAATTTTTCTATTTTTGTATAAACAATTTTTTAATTTCCCATGGAAAATTGATTTTCATGGGTGTCTAAGCCTTCCTTAGGGCCTCCATATTGAAATGGTAAAATTTAAAACGATTCGGTATACCCAGTTCGGAGAAATATTTCATAAACGATTGACCTCTTGGATGCCGCTTTCACGTCGCCTTAAGAGAGGTAGATCCTTTAAGGCCCGATTCCACAGCCCAAATTAACCGGAGTTTAACTGATTTTACAGCAGTCTAAAACCGGAAGCAAACCAAACATCGGTTAACTCTGGTTGTGGAACCGGGCTTAAATAAGTCGAAACGGTTCGCCGGCTATTGGTTTTGAGATGCAAGGATGCAAAAAATGGCATATCTCTTTCTACCGATTGATCGTCAGATGAATTCTAAGAAATTAACGGTTTATCCGTCCGAGATTAGTTCGCGATCGAACCTGTTAGTTGTAGGCAAGTGGTTTTGGTATCTGATTCGACTGGAAGAGATGAAGCTGCTCGGTTTCTCATTAGGGTTAACGTCTCGTATCGGATTAGCTTTAGGTTCGACTTTTTAACGCGCAGATGTATTTATTGTTGCTCGTCGTTCTAGCTCGTAGTATTTAAATTGAACTGGGCTCGGTTTAGAGGTCTCATAGGAAACGTAGCATCAGGACGCGCGGACGGGATTACCTTTTTTTTTCCCTTATAATACTCACCGCGTGGGTCCTTGCCCGAATTGGAAGGCTGGAAATTCCTGAAGAGATATATATATATTTATCGAGTCAAATCGAAGTTGGCCCAGCGACCTGATCGAACTGGTTTCCTACCATTAAATGAAAACGGGCCCAAAATGTTCCGAACGCGTTGTTTCTCCAGAAATAGCTGTGTGTTTTCGGCTCGTGATTATCAAGCTAGTTGTCTCTACGTTGTTCAGAATCTCGAGAAAAGAAATATGTCGTGTCGAGATCGGCGTTCTTTTTTTTGCCACGTGGATTTTTATCGGTGTAAATTTGGGTGCACATCATAAAAGCGTACGGCAAGCATGCAGTAAATGCTTCAAGTATAAATATGATGTATCTGTGTGTTTGTAGGTGTACGCAAATATGTAGGTGTATTAAATGAAGCATTTACTGCGTATTTATTGTATGTGTTTTCTTTTTTTTTTCTTCTTTGTGATGCCTGACTAAACAGGGCGAAACGGCGGAGGCGCCGGCGACTGAAAATGGCGTAAGGGTAGTAGGTTAAAAACTGAATTTATTAATAGACAATAAAATACGCCCTGGCGCGCACTGTACGTACATATGTTAGTCTCATTATATAAATGTTGCGTATACAATAAACAGTTTGTTCCGTAGCCTAAACGGGAATTTCTACCTTGCCGGTGACGGACGCTGAATGCCTCTTTTTCACATTTGAAAGAAAAGAGGTAAATGTTACCAGTACAATTGTAAAATAGACACAAGTCCCTATTAGTGGAATAACTAGAGAAAGGAATAACTTTGTAAATTGTATTTTTGATTTCTACAGCTGTGGAAGGACCCTTTCTATAGTTATATGTCATACACTGAGAAAAAACTTGTATCGAACCGTAGAAATATTTCATTGAATAGTACCAAGGAAATATTACGTTAATTTAAAGGATGATTATTTCACTCAATTCAGCTTAAAAAAATTGCTCCCTTTTGTGGGATTGTCTAGCGTAGGTCTTTCAAGGCGGGAATATTTAAAGAGTAAATGATCAATCTTGGAAAAGAGTGCCGTCCCGAAAAGAAGATGCATTTAACGTTTTCGCTATATGAGGCGCACATGTACCTTGTTCGCGTATGTGGCGTGCATTCGTATAAAACATGTATAAACGTATTGCGTAAAAAAGAAAAAAAAACAACATCTGTATAAAATCGGAATTATATCAAGTAAATGTACACCTATCTTACGTATGCACACACTGGAATACTTAAGTACCGTAGAAAGACCGATCCAAGGTGACGCGAACACGCGGATGCCTCTGCGAAGAGGAACCCGAATTTCGAGGCGAGAGGTATTTTATTATTATAATTATTATTGTTGTTGTTGTTGTTATTGTTGTTATTATTATTATTATTATACACACACGATACGATTTTATCAGAAATGACGCGCAAGAGATTCCTTCGCTCAAACTAGACTTTCGGCGATATCTGTCTTTGTATTACCGGAAACATGGATACATCCAGTTGGCGTTTCTTCGCGCCACCTTAAGGCTCTTGATAAATCTTCCCGTATTTGTTCTACATGCTAATCGAGTTACGAGAAACCAAAAAAAAGGGGGGGGGGATAGGCCAGCGCGGCCGAAATCTTGCGACCGAAGGGCTACGGGAGATTAGAATAAGCACTTATTTCTTTGGAAATTCTCGATCGTCATCGGAAATTCTTCTCGAAAGTAATATACAGTGCACACTCCTGGTATCGCTTAATGGCGAAATTAGCACGTAATCGGATAGACCGCAAGGTCCATTCGTGTTTTTCTTATTTTCTCCTTATTTTCTTTTTCTTATTTTTTTCTTCGAGATTCGCTGAGATTCTTGAACGCGGTTCGCGTCGCCTTTGCTAGGTAACAGGTTTGGACGTCCCACCGTCGAGCGTTTCGCCGATGGTGGGATTTAAGCGAATTCATGCGATTCTTTTCAATCGCCAGAACCTATTACATAAGGTCGCCGTTATTTCACCAGGTTTTTGACATTCCTCGGGAGATTCGAGATGGAACCCTTGTTCGAGCTGGCGGCGGTTGGTCTCATGAAACTGAGATTTCGCGGAGTCGCGTGCGACTGGACGGGACGACTCTTCGAGGACGGCGCGATGTTTCTGGCGATTCTTCGAGTTCCACTGGACTGATGGCCAATACTACTGCCACTGCTGCTGCTCCTCGACGCCGAAACTCCGGGGTTTCTTTTCGGGACGTCGCACTGGACCTGAAATACATAACAGGAGGATTAATCGGAGAACTCGTTCCTTTAGAATCTCGACTCTTCCTTGTAAGAGGTCGATCCCGCAACCGCAAAGGCATCAATTCTGTTTATTTATTTTATTTTATTTATTTTCTTTTTGGTAATACTAGTTTCATTCACCCGAGTATGGACAGCGAGTAAGTCGAAAATATGTATCCGAAATATCTGATCCATTTTTTCGAATTTCTTAATCCCCAGGACATTCCTATTCCCAGCTCACCGCATTTAATCCCGCTCCCCTACATATTCGGAATTTAAGGACACGTGAAATCGGCATCTAAAAGTTCTCGTTCCGTAACTGATATCACACGTTTGTGGACCGTGAGATATTTTTCCACCTGAAATATTCGAAGTTTAAATTCACAGCCACGGAAAGTGCGAGGTTTACCACGCTCTAACGCCCTCCTCGATATTTTATGCGTTTTAATCTTTTCGTTTGCCTTTTCAACGAGCATGACCGTGCCGTAACTGAGATCACATTTACGTTTGTGAACCGTGGGATATCTTACCGAATGAAATATTCGAGATTTAAATTCACAATCACGGCAAGTATGAGACAGGACACGCTTCTAATCCCACTACGATCAGTTCCCCGATATTTCATACGATTTAATAATTCCGTTTGCCTTTTCTATGGGCGTGACCGTGCTGTAACTGAGATCACACTTACATTTGTGGACCGTGGGATATTTTTCCCAGGCAGTCCAACGGCAGTAGAGCCGTATCGGTGAGCGCTCCTCCCGGAGGGAATCCTGCTGGCAGAATTCCTAGAAGCAATCTTCCGCTTCTCGCTTTCCTTCATAGCCGACAACTGCGAGTCGGCCGCGATTCCGGGGATCCCGGGTATGCCCGGCATGCCTGCAATTCCCGCCCCAAAGTGGCTCTTCCTAAGGTCGTTGGTCAGCGCTCGAATAGCCGAGGTATAGCCACCAAGGCGAGAGTGGTTGGGTCCTAGGTTTCTTACGGTGTTGACTGAAGTAGCACTATTTAGCGAACTACGTGAGCTCCTCAGGCTGCTGCGAGAGCTGGACCTCTCAACCTCGTTTTTAGGCGGATTCACCCTGGTCGGTAAGGCGGTGGGATTTTTCCTAGACATATCCGGAGTCCTGGCAATATCGTGCTTCATGCTTCCAGTCCTCTTTGGCAAGAAGCTTCCGTTGCCGGGTCCAGGTCCCACGACCTTCCTCTCGAACGACCTGATTTTCTGGGGCGGTTTACGGGGGGTCGTTGCGTTGCTCTTATCGATTCGCTCTGCCGGTGGCAAGGGCGATGGCAAGGGTGACGGAGACGAGCACGAAATGCCGGGGACCTGGATCACGGAGATGTTCCCCATCTCGGCAGGGGAACACCTGCTCGAGATCTGGGTGTCGGCTTCGAAATTCCCTGAAGAGGTCTCTTGACTGAAGGCCTCTGAGACGAGACTCTGGGTCTCTTCGAATCCCTCGTCGTTGAGCTCCTGGTCCTTGTGCTTCGCGAAGAGCGACAAAGAACTGATGGGTGCGTTGGTTACCGCGATGTCCGGGATGAATCTGCTCTGAAACGCGGGGCCCAAGGTCGTGTCTAGCTCCGTTTTGCCCTGGAGTTGTTCACTTTCTCGGTTGGAATGGAGATCGGCGTCCTGGGGCTCGTAAGAGGGTTCCACCCGGGTAGGACAGTCGGTTCGGTCCAGGTCTGATCTATCTTCTGGTGATTGATTCCTCGGAGTACAGGTAGTGGTAACACAGGTGGTACCTGGTGGACTAATCGCGCCGGTGTTACCCGGTGCACTGACGCAAGGAACCGTATCCTGACTAATGCGACTAGGTGGATTGCTGGTCAACCTCATGGCTCTTTTTACTTGGCTGGGATCGATCATGCTCATGTGTCTTTCTCGACTGGGCACCGCTCTTTCCGGCAGGATCGTTACCGGTGGCTCTCTTGGTCGGGACTCCTGCATTACAGGGCTCAACACAGTGTTCGTTACTGCCACAACCGGGGCAGGCTGAGATACAGGGAGCCTGGAGCTCCTGTGAGACGTCGACCTGGAAAGTCGCTGCAGGTCTTCGCCAGATTTTGCAATTTCCGCCAAAGCCGCGTCGATGTCGTGATTCGGGTCCCCTGGTTTTGGATCCTCTGGCCGAATACAGGAAATTGTGTCGTCGACTTTCCCTTCTTCCGCGAATGCTAGAGTGTTTGGCCTTTGGAGCTTCTCTTCGGATAGTCCAGCATCACAGCGGTCTTGTCTAGATTCTTTATCGCCGAGGAGGTCCGGACTCCTCTTGTACCTTCTGGTCTTCCTGGCAGCTGCGTATCGATCGAAATTTCCTAAGACAAAGGTTCAGGACGTAAGATCGCTGTTAAGGTGACGTGAAAGCGGCACCTGAGGGGTAAATCGTTTATGACACGTGAACGCTGTTACCTGATCTGGTGTTCAGATAACGTACCATTACCGAGATCGGCGAGGTAGTTCCCAGGCTTTGTTGTCAACCCTTTCGTGTCTCTACCGTGGAAAGAACTGTTGCAGCGTTCTCTTTTACAAGGCTCCTTCTCCACGGGTTTAACTTCTCTTGGAGGGCTGAACACCTTCCTCGTGGCCGGGGGTGTCTCAACGTTATCGGAGTCAATATCTATCTTATCGCTGACTCTCTCCTCTGCTAAACTCTTCTTCGAGAATTTTGAACCCCTTCGAGCAGTCGTGTTTTGGGTCGTTAGGTAGGGTTCCCTAATATAAATCGTTAATTCATCCGAACTGGTAGGATTCGTTTCGGTCGCTTCGTCTACTCTATGTCGTTTGCGTTCCTCCTCCCTGATAGCCTGCAAAATATAATCGAAAAACACGTTACATCGGACTTAGCGATTTGTTTTAAGGGCATATGAAAGTGGCGTCAAAGAGGTCTCGTTCGTGAAACTTTTCTCCGAACTGAATGTACCGAATTTTTTAATAAAAAACGAAATTTCATGGATGCCAAGATCTTCCTCATAGCCTCTGTATTCACGGTGTTAGGTTTGAGATAATTCAATACACCCAGTTCGGAGAAAATTTTCACGAACGATTGATCTCTCAGATGCCCCTTTCATATCACCTTAAGGTAACGAGGAAGGAGCGCTTACCTGTAAATTACTGCTTCCAACTATGTTCTCTGTGGAATGCCTTGAGCGCAATTTCCGCATATCTTCGGCGTTGCTGGGGATGTTCAGGTTTGATTTTCTCCAGAAAGACTTATCCTTGTGTGGAACTTGCGGTTCTATACGAAAGAAGATTAGATTATGAAAATAGTTCAAAAAGTATATTTGGATTATCAAGAGGGTATATACCCTCCATTGCTTCCGACGATCGATTTGCATCACATTTTTCGCCCATTGATCGCCAGTCGTAAACATTCGAGTATCCTTCGGGCGTTGCGGTGTCATCTACTGTAATATTCAACGTAGAATTTTTACCTTCGCTCTCTGCAAGAAAGGTATTCCTTCGATACATGAAAAAAGGTCTTCCATATCGCTCGGCGAATAAAGAATGTCATTTACCAGAATCTTCAAATGATCTGCGATTTGCTTGCAGTTCCTTCGCTCTCTTCCGATGTTCCTCACCGGCTCGTTCTTCCTTTTCGTTTTCTGTTAACCAGGCTTCGATTTTTTGCCGCCAGGCTTTCCTATGATTTTAAATTTCCACGAGTTATTTACACCTTTTAAAGTATTAATCTACAGTTTTGAAGTAAAATTGTATAAAGCATGAGGTACCCAGCTGGTTGCAGTTCATCTTCCTGCAAGAATGGCTTGCTTTCCAGTAAAGGCGAAGGGGAACTTGGTCGTTCGCGATCGCCAGAAAAATCTGCGTTTAGCAAATCGCTTCGCTTTGGTTGACCTCGAGCTCTCCGAGCCCATGATCGATCTGTTCAATTGTAAATGTATATAGTTTCAATTTAACACCGTTTGAAAATTACAAATAAACCCAGCTCTCAGCCTTTACCTAAGCTTCCCCACGATTTCCTCTCTCGCGCATTTTCTTGGCCTGAAATTCTGAGGAAATCCAGCAGATTTCCGTCGTCGTCTTCACAGGGCACGCGACTTCTACGTCGCCTTAACGTCCCGTTCGGCGTAATGTCTGAAATTATATTCCGTATAATTCCACGGCTGAGTCACCATCAATAAGATGATTTATTTCCGTGGGGTTATTCACTCAGGAAATCATGGATTTTAACACTCCAAATCGCAAGCAGAAATCACTGGAAATCGTTAGAAATCACAGAAACATTGTTACAACTTTAAGGCCGAACGTCACTTGTTACCGAATCACATTATTGTTTACTATACGAAATCAAAGGCGATCGATTCTCAAAGAAGGAGATCGTTTTCACTGTTTTTCGAGTGAATAGCCCCTTGCTAATTTCAACATAACTAAATATATGTCCAACCGTGTACATACCGGGCGAGTACGTATCTTCTTTGGTTGATTGTTGGTCCAGATTTGCCGATCCAAGACGTCGACGAATGCTCGGTGACCCTGTGATCGAGATATCCTCATCCGAGGTAACACCGCCGTTTTGGAGTCTTTTCATCTACGATTGTATAGTTTTCTCTTTCATACACACGTAATTTGTATGCTATCATTAACCGTTTGAGTCCTAGGGGGTATTGAGAAAACACTGTCGAAGAATCCCGAACAGCGCAACCGCGCTTTCTCTAAATGAGTACGAGAAGACCCAAACAGCGCGATAGCGCTTTGTTTATTTTATGCCGATGAATCCCACTCGGCGCGATAGCGTTTCTTGAATTGTAAGATGTATTATTTACACCCTTGCGTTACGATTTAAATTCCAATAGCGCGTGTCATAAACAACAAAAGTGTCGGTCATACATCGGCCCATTTCACGGTTTGGCTGAACGTAACTTCTCATACGGTTTGTTTACATTTGGCCCGATTGACATACCACGTCTCTCACACGTTTTGTTCATGTTTGGCCCGATTGATTTACCACGTCTCTCACACGATATTGTAAGTTAAGAGGTTAAAAGAAGGAGCTGTGTAATGTACTTGGGTCAGTGAATCTGAGCGACTTTGACAATCGGTGACGCACCGTCAGTTGTCCACAACGCTCGGAATGTGCTGGGTTTTCTCGACATAAAATCTGAACAGCGCAATCGCGCTGCCTGGGACTCAAACGGTTAAGTGCTTTACATTGAAGAAATTCAGAAAAAAGAAATTAACCACCGTTACCTTGGCATCGTTGCGGCCGTACGACCTCTGAGACGTATGAACATCAAAAAGCCCATACTCAATGAGATTACTCTCAGATTCCGAGACAGGAATCTCGTTCTGGCTGCTCACTATCGATGAGAATGCCGTTTATAATAATATGCAGTGAACTGGATTTTATTGAGCTGCGAGAAGATAATATATAAAGCAGTTCTTACGGAATCGTTTCCTAGCCTTAAGTTGCTCCTCCCGTTGCTTGCGTCTAGTGATGACTTGCTCTTCTTGAATCCGACGTCTCTCATTTTCGGCCACCGCTTCATTGAACTTTTGACAAAAGTGATGGAACACTCGAAAGCACTCTTCGATCTTAAACGTGTTCGTGTCCTCGCAAAAGAATTCAGCGAGTGACTGCCTCACGCACTCCAGTTCCGCCATGTCTTTTCTCAGCTCTTTCATTTCTTGTTCAGCAATCTGAAAATTCAAGTCAGAACTTCTTAAAAAAGACTAGTCTCTTCTCGTGGATTTGAGGATCACGTCGCGACGAGAGCTTGCCTGTAAAAATTGCGACATTTGGGTTCGGATATCGTTATCCGTGGTGGGCAGTTGGATCTGGCTCTTGATCTTCTTGATCTTGGTATCCAAGCTATTGAACTCGTTACTAAGCTGCTCCACCGTCGTCCTTGAATAAATATATTAATGAGTAACGCCCGGAATTTATAGAATTCCTCGGTACACTTACTTCGTTGCAGCTTCCAGAGTGCTCATGTTCCTGGCAAAGTCGAGGAGGTCCTTCCTTTTTCTCTCCGCTTGCTGTAACCCAATAAAACCCAGATATACCGAGCATATCGATTGATCGTACAATTCACTGTATTTGGAGAAAATGGACCGTAATTTTTTTCTTACCAGTGCGACATAATGTATGAGATTCATTCCTGGTTTGTTCGCGCGGATTTCCGTCAGCTTCTGCAGCGACGACAATTTAACTCCTGCCGCGTTCCCCGCATATCCACCCTGGCAAAGAGACGGGAATACAATCATGAAGTATATTGCATACACGTTTTGTACAAGATAGGTATATAAATACCGAATTGAGGAAATTCCCAGCAACCAGGACCATGTAGAGCACCTCTTGGAGAGCTTTATTGGTCATGAGATCCTCGCCGGCCAAAATCATGGAGTTTATGCTCGGCTCGAGGTAACTAATATTCGCCTCGAATTCCTCCTTGAGCAGCATGCACTCGACTCGCAGTTTATAGCTTGTAAATAAATTAACTCTATCAATACGCTGCTCGTAAAATAATCATGAGATTAAACAAGGCCGAGTGAGTCCGGAATTTACTTTGGCACTTGCATGAGCTGGAGGAAGAACTTCTCGGCATTGCCGAGCTTCGACTTGTCGCCTTCGAAGTTCTTAAGTTTCTCCACCTCTTCGACCTCCGGCAGGATTTTCAGCAAGCCTCGAAGTTTTTCCAATCCAATGTCGCCATGATCACCTTCTCGGATAAGTCGAATGACGTCATCGTTGGAGCTGGACAAATCAAAGTGCGTAACCAAGTTGAGCGCGTTCTTCCGAGGTTATCTCGTGTCCATTACCTTCTGAATTGTTTAAGAAAGATGTTGACATTCAGGCTTCGCTTTCCGTCGAGCAGCACAATCTGAAATATCGAAGCGTTCGATTAAATTTAACTCCCGGAATACGCATCATCTGTCCGACTCGCTTCCCGCGCGATTTCGAAAAATGCAAGATGGCGGCCAGCCGACTTCGCGGGAGCTTTTTTCAAATCGAGCCGAGGAGCGGTGCGCATCAATGCGCATCTGGCGCGCGATTTCAAATAATCCAAGATGGCGGCCGGCCGGCTTCCACGAGAGCGCGGGGTGTCTTTTAAATCGAGTCGGGAAGCGGTGCGCATCAGTGCGCATCTGGCGCGCGATCCGTGCGGATCTAACCTCGGTGTGTTCTCGCCGGCGTTTCTCGGTGTCGGAGGAAGGACCCCCGGAACCGGAGGACGAGGCGATCGAGGAGAAGATCGGCACTTGCTGGCAGAAGAGTCCCTCCATTTCGGACCAGTCGAGGTCGGCCATCGGAGAGTTTTGGTGCTCGTCGGCCACGAGGGACCAAATGTTGCGTTTCCCGATGACCTGTGAAAAGAAGCTAGGTAAGACCGAGCATGCACTTCAGAGCACCGCCGCGTCGTTTACATATTAAATGTAAATTAAAAATTGATAACAAACGCATATTAAAAATGTTCTATATATAAAAAGTTTGAAGGTATGCCCGAGAACATTTTTCCTCATCCTGTACATACCTTGTGATGCGGGATTTTGTTCCAGTTGATGGTCTTCATCTTCGTCTTGGGGGTCGGAGTCTCCTGCTGCGGCAGGAGTTTGGCGTTGCCACCTACGGCGTCGGGAGCGGCGACGAGGCGGCGCGGAGGGCCGGAGGCGACATCGACGGAGGGTACGTGGAGCGGCGGAGGTCGTGGGGGTTCGACGACGAGGTTGGGCCCGAGGATCGGGCCCAGGAACGGACCCGGAGGTGCCGGGGGCACCGTGCTCCTCTCTGACGTCGACATGGCGAGTCGGTCATCCGAGAGCTACCGAGGTCCTCGATCGCCCCCCTGCCCGGCGGGGTCGGTGGTCAGCCCGCTCGCCGACGTCCCTGCCGCCGTCTCGTCGCGTGTTCGCCTGAGGTTTCGACGGGCAACTTTCATGAAAAATGAGACTCAAGCCACGTCGTAAAACGACGAAACAACGAAACTACGAATCTACGGTCTGCTAGAGAAGCGGTCGAAGCCGGTTAGATTTTCAAATTCTCGATGAGTTCGTAGCGTAGAGGATTCAAGGAGACTAATCGTTTTCTTGATATTTTAGAATGTACCCTGGTGGGCATGAATGCCTTTCTATCACGCATTCGCGACACCATATTTGCAGGGAAGATATTCATTTCCGCCACTGTACAAGGTAGCGAAACCCAAAAACGAGTCGATTCGAATGATACCTATCTTTTGAAAAATAATTCACCTAACCAACGGATATTTTAACACCGATTCGTGAACACTCAAGGAATGTCATGACACATTCAAAGTTTTGAAATTCATTTTGAATTTGTTAACTTGACCGGTGAAAAAAATTAATTAAATCTGCAACTTTGTATCGGAACAACCTAATATCTGACGTCCATGGGTAACACGCGTGCCAAGTGTAAATCAAGGTTTTGATATTCAATATGAATTTGTGGTTTGGCCGTTGCAACAATTGGTGAAATCCGCAACTTTGTATTGAAATAACCTAATATCCACGTCCATGGGTAACACGCGTGCCAAGCGCGACAGGCCCCGAGTAGTGCCCTGCCTCGCCGGCGGAGTGGGAGGGCGCGATTGTCGCCACGGTCAACTTTTGACGGAGGCACGTCACCTCGCGACTTGCGGACTCGTGCCTAGATAAGGAGTTGTCCTTTTACCCGTTCCTCCGCGCGACCTCTCTCAGCCGACGGACTTTATCTCTTATCGAGCTAGGTCTAACGCGCTAATATAGAAATTTATAAACGCCCCAATTGTCAGATTCGCGCTCGGATAGAAACTTCGTACACGACGCTCCCCCTAGAAAATATTGTATATAAACCTTGAAGACTCGAGTCGAGCACAACGATCCGTCGTGGCGTCTCTCAAAAAATGAACTAGAAGTCGAGTGTCGTGCTTGTCGCGGCGTATACGCGAGTAGTGAGTAATAACGCGAGGAATAAATTAATCGAAAGGAGGTCGTAGCCATGACATAGCCATGGCGGATCGGATTACTCGAATCGAATTCGTAGCACCTCTCGCTGCAGTTTCGAAAATGCGTTATCGGTGGATTAGCCGTTTTTCTCGCGGAACATCGATCACTTTCGAGGGCCATATGTGCACCGCGCGATATTTTTTCTCGACGCGTTCTCTTGTTCTTCTTGAGACATCTAAAAAAGAGAGAGGGGGAGAGAGAGAAAAAATGTGTGGAAATAACATTTTTCCGTTGAATCGATGTGCCTACACCTCGGAGTCGCGTAGGCGAGGAATTCGTATTACGTAAATTTCCCAGACATAAGCGGCGCTAAAGCCTAGGTGGGTTAGTCGCGCCCCACTCTTTTTTCTTTCCCTACTTAGGCGCAAGTTATTTTAGTTTACATTAGTTTAGTAGCCAGTAAAGCCGTTTACGACTCTCCGCGACCGTCACGCGACGAGTCGTAAACCGAGCGATTCTTAATGTGCCGTAAAACCCCCGTTGTTGCATCCTAAAAGAGGCAGTAGTCAGTCTCAGGTGCGAGCACCGACGAGGGGGAATTTCACCTTCCCCGGGAGGGAATTTTAAAATCATCCGGAACCTTGACACGAATGAGCAATCAAAATCTGCCGATTTTCCCGCCGAGTTCTCACGTCCTTGGGTCCTCGGCTCCTCGCGAGAGAGATTAACCCGCTAAATCATGCCGAGATCCCGACACGCGACAATATTCTTTCAGATATTTTCTCTGCGAGAGAAAGAAAATATAACCATCGATCGATCTCTATTTAAATTCTCACCCCCTGTAAATCTCGATCGAATCCCGTAAAAATTTTGAAAAATTCCCCTGGGATGATTTCCTCCCGAGAACGCGAATTTCGGAGCGCGAGCTCGATATCCGACCCCCCAGAGGGCAGCACCGGGGGTTGACGCACCTTGGGATCCGCAGGATCGGTCGCCTCCCTTCGAGTTCCCCGTCTATCTCGCGCATGGTTCGCGCCCGGAGCATGGCGGCTCCGAGTCTCGACTCGGCATCGCGGCCCGCACTTTTTTCCTCGGTCGCCGATTCACGGAAACTGCGTTTCAGGATCGCGGAGGAGTATACGGGATGGCATGGAGCGCGCATGCGCGGTCCCAATGGCCGGCACGCGGTGATTGGCCGGCCGGGCTGGGCCAATCAGCGCCGAGCTCCGGGCCCCAACCGACCCCTGTCCCTCTCCCTCCTTGTCGCCCCACTCCGCCGGCAGAGACCTTCGCGCCAGGGCCCATCTACCATCTATGTACGTCGTGCACAAGGTGCACAAGGTGTACCGGCTCCGCCAGTGACTAACGGTGACTAACTCCTCTTCCTTTCCGACGGCCCGGACGGCGGGGAGGGAGTGGAAAAGGAAGCCTGGTTAAAAATTCCTAGGCGTACCGATAAACTCCCGGTGGCTACTTCTTAATCGCCGATAAGGAAGGAGCGACCGTGCCCCAAGTTCCCATTAGGGCAACGATATACGCCCTTGAGCGAGGAACGCGAGCTTTTTACGAGCTTAACTCGTTTACACCTCTCGCGATAATCGTCCCGTCTCGGAGTAGAGGTTTATTGGAGCACGTGGAGGCGATTTACGCGCTTGGGAAAGAAGTCGGTTGCGCGGAACGTTTCTAAAGAAAATCGCGCGACTCCGCGTTGACCGCTCACAAGGAGCATTACAATTCGAGGCGGCTCGCTTCGTCGACCCGAGAGAGAAGGAAAGCGTTCGAAAGGAGGGAAAGAGAGAGGGAGAGCGATACGAGAGAAAGCGAGGTCGAAGGGATGTAGTAGGGAGCGAGAACAAGAGAGGACATGGGACTATCTGGCGTAATACGTGAGCTTGTATGAGAGGCCCATTACGCGTCGCGGAATGCCCTGGGTCGACGTCGACTTTTCTCCGATGATCGGGGAAAATTTAGCATAATATTACGACGATACCTCGAATCGAAAAGAATCGATCTTCGGGGTCCAGGGACTCGATTCTTAGGTTCAGCGGATTTTTCTTTTCGCATACGAATCGATTCGGATGAACAATGACGCACTGTTGCGAAGTCTCGTCATTGGTCGACACTTGAAACTCGGAGACGAAGCTATCAGTTTGGCATGCCTACGTTGATCAGGAAACTCGGTAGAGTTTCGCACCAAATACATTTAAAGGCCTGCGCGAACGGCACCGAATACTTAACGCCAAAATTCGGCACATCGATTCGATAAATATTAATTTCTCAATAATCAAGAATCTGGTCTCTGCAGTCTCCCTCGCTTTATCGATTGTAAAAAGATTAAGCGCGCATTTCGCTTGCTTCTGAAAAAAAACTACCCTGTTCGATCCATGGACATTGGCGATATGAAGCCTAGAAACCCAAGCATTCTCTTGATATTCTCGAGATGTCAGCGAAAATGAAAAAGAGCGAACGAGGGATATCCTTACTCTCTCTTTTTTTCCGTTATAAGGCTATCGTTGTACCGTGATGGAAGTCTCATGTAAAAAGAGAGGGAGACAGGGCGAGAAAGCAACTCCTCTGTCCTCTCTTCCATTTCTATCTTCAGAGTCGGATGTGCACGGTCCACAAATCCTATGTATGCTATTCATGCGAATGCAGAAAAGGGACAAGAACGAAGAGGAGCAATTCTTTCCCTCTCTATCTCGCGTTACGCTGAACGTCCAGGGATTGTCCTTTCTCTCTCTTTTTCTTACCTTTTTAGCTAGGCTATCGTCATATTACCGCACGCAATAGTTTCAGAAAAAGGGAAGAGTGAGAAAACAACCCCTCTGTTCCCTCTCTTTCACCTGTTGTCTTCGTGGTCAAATCTACACGCGGATTCATACATCTATGTACATCTCACGTCCGTGATTCGATCACCGAATGGCGCTGGTCGTCGCGAGGTTTCAGGTTGCACGATCCATAGATTAGATGATCATGGTAGCAACTACATATCCATCATACTCCTAAATCCTGAATTTCTCCAATCCGAACCCAGTAAAATGGGTTTCCATCTCATTAATAAACACAGAGATTCGATTCCGAGCGCCTCGATCGACACTTAAATTCGGATTTACTGGGTCTGGACCCGATAAATCCGGATTTCGAGTATGATGGAGACGTAGTCTATGAACCTCTAGTAAAAGGGCCGAAATCCAAATAGATGCAGATCACGTGATCGCAACGTTTATGATTGAGCCGCGCTCCTCTTTACGAGCGATTCGAAGTCGTTTTCAAATCAACGCGCGTAAAGATGCGAAAGAGTCGGTTGAGATATATTGTGTAATGTTTTGTCAACTCGAGTCACTCGAATGCGAGATCGTTCTCGAATCGAGTTTGGACTCGAGAACTCGATAAGAGATGCATTCGATTCGAGTCGATTGCGAGTTGGCGAGTGAAGCGACGAATTTGAAAATAACGACCACTCGAGTGAACGACCATGGTATCCCGTTATGGGTTAACTCAGTTTCCCTCTCACGCTTGTGACTCGAATTCGTCCTTCCCAATGCACAGTGGGCAAAAATTGGGAAAAGCTGGCCAACATTCGAAAAATAAGGTAATCTATATGAAATTTGGTATTCCGGGGTTTTCGAGATCGCTGATAACGAATTTGGTCGGTTTTCCAAAAGACACAAATTTGTTTATGAAATTTTCTACTCGGTGATTTTCGCGGTTGCTGGTAATGATTTTAATATTAATTTTTAAAAAATAACGGCTTCATAATCGCACTAATAGTATGTAAAAATGATAGAAAGTTTGCATGGGAATTGGGTAAAAATCAAAGTGTCACAAAAGTTGTTCATATTATATATCAACACGTTTTATTAATTATTATCGTTACATGGGTGTTAGAAGTCATTATACTAACGCAACTCACTCTTAGACCCACAATCGGAGTCACTATAAATCGAAGCTGCCGCATCGCCGTGTTTTACATCGTTTCAGAAAAATGGTCACAGAAGCGAAAGTTGCAAAAAGTGACAGCTGATTCTTTGATTTTTGTATTTTTTAATATTCAACTAAAAATAAAAAAAAATCATCGATCGAGTGCGATCGAGTTATAAACATTTGCCTACCTTTGAAAACAGCTTTGTCTGCGTGGTATAAAAAAAGTACTTCCATTGCAACGTTAATAATTTTCTGCACGTTCTAAATTTGACAATGTCATACATGATACCGAATAATACATACCTTGAGGAAGAGAATCCATAATTTTCGGTTGAAATCGCCATACCACACAACTTTTCATACACGTTTACGTGGAGCGTCCGGCGCGCGTGAAAATACCGTCTAAAAGTATCTTCGTGCAAATATCACTTTTCTTACAACGCACACAGCGATACTTGGTCGCTAAAAACCCATCTGCATTGTACCTAGAATCTCCTACTAAAAATTCCAGGACAAACAGAGGTCCCAAACTAGAAATTTCATTTTTTTTTACTTTCGGCCAGCTTTTCCCGATTTTTGCCCACTGTGCGATGGCTCGAATTGAAATATTCAACCCGTCGCATCGTTAGGCAGGTGCAACTCACCTTGCTTGCGGCGGCATTCGCAGGACTCGTAAGGAGGCGCGGCCGAGTCGAGGTCGTAGACGGCAGCGGAAATCCGGAGACGGCAAAACCGTAACCCGCGAGCGCGTCGCCGCGAAAATGATGCCGCCGAATTAGCCTCCGTTAAAATAGCTCGGCTCATACGGGGAGAATAAGAATCCCGCGAGAACCGGCACTCTCATTGGCGGGCTCGTTTCACGCCGGCAGCTATTTCAGCTATACGCCAAACGGCAAACCGCGCGAGTCGAGCGCGAGGGAGATTCTTCGCTTTTCACGTCTCGTCGCGGCCCGAAATCGGGCGCCGTTACCGCGGAGCCTCCGCTCTCGATCTCGACTCTCGATCCCCCCCTGGACTGGCGAACGCATTTCCGTCCATCACGAAACCGAGCTCAGCAAACATCCGCTCGGTGGTTCCTTCTTCTTTTTTTTTCCTTCGCAGCGGGACGGGCGCGGGCATCGTCGCGCTGACGGATCGCAATCGGGCTCCGCGACGAGGCGCGCGACTTGACGTACACTCGGTGTACTCGCGCGAACGCGCGGTACTGCGCGGAGCGACTTGGCTGCGCACATGGTCGAGCGGCGCCGCGCAGGTCCTTATATGTACACGAGCCACCAGGTTTCCATGCCTACCTCTTGTCTCTCGCCGTTGCCCGCGAGACCGGCGACTTTTCTCGCCCCGCTCGGCGCGTTCCCCGCCGAGAATCACCGAGCGACGTTGCCAACCGTGCAAGCACCAGCGCCGGTAACTGCCCTACGGGCCAAGATGACGGGTGTAGTCGCGCGTCAACTGCCAGAACTCGAGAGTACTACAAAAATAATGATCATCAGTTACGGCAATGAGTCTCGGAATGCTCTCGACACTAAACGAGCTTTTACGAATAATTAAAATCCTACGTTTCTTGATGCGTCGGAGTTAATGAAATTTAAATCTGGACGCGCGCCGCGCGTCGGCGCCATGTTCCGGTGGGGACTTCAAATAGTTTTTCGCTAGGTCGGTAATGTAGGAACTGATGCGCTTCTACTAGAACCGGTCTTTAAATAAGCGCAACTAGTCGGGACGTTGTCCTTGCATAGGTGATATCCTTATGTCCGTTTAGTTAGGAAGAGTCGGAAGGGAAGAGCAGTGGTGTTTGTTTTGGTAAATATTTGTAAATGGGGTAAAGGATGTACGATCGAGGACAAGGACTGGCGTCCTCCAGTGCTCCAGTCAATTCGAAGTACATACGTAACCGACGCGGCCGGTGACACCATGGTGACACCTCGTGGGAGTCGCGTCAACCCACGCGAGCCGATTCGTATACGTACGTATCATTACAATTTGGTGGTGGCCCCTGGTGGCATGGTCGTTTATGGTTTTTTAGTTGTAAGTTTTTAATGTTTTGAATACAGGGTTTTATCGCTCATCGTTCACGGTGCCATGACGGACGAATTAAAGTTGGACCATCGAGCGAAAAAGCGTATTAAGGAAGTTAAGAGACGAGCGAGGCCAGGTAAGTTTAACCTCGTTTCCTAACCTATTTGGGAACTTAACGTGGACACGTAAACTTTCCCTTTTTCGTACGTTGTGCACATCTACCCTTCGTAGTTGAATTAACGGGCTCAATTTTTGCTTATTCGTTAGATATCCGGTGTTGGAGTATGTTCGTTTTTACGTTTAAGACGCTTTGTACATTTTCCGTGTCGGCCGTCTCTTTTTCTCCAAAATATTAATAGTAATACATTAGGGTTATTACATTAGTGTAAGTGTGCGCATTGTTTCACATCGCTCGTTGGATGTACCAAGGTAAAGTGAGACTTACCAGTTTGACCGAGATGGCCTTTATTTCGTAGAACTTGGAGATAAGTTTGCTTGGACTCAACATGGTTATCACAAAAACTTTCAACCTTTCTGGGATTTTAAAGACAACATAATGAGAATTGATGAATCCTCGGTAACGCCTGCAGAATTTGTTGAACGTTTTGAGAAACCCTACCAACCTGTGATAATTCAAGGTGTTCAGTCCAATTGGAAAGCACAACATAAGTGGACTATAGAGGTCAGTGTTAATCCTTTTGAAACGATCTTATTTTATCTCTGCATTATTATATGTCACCATTTAATAATGAGTTATTCTGATGAGCAGAGGTTGGCTAAAAAATATAGAAACCAAAAATTCAAGTGCGGTGAGGACAATGAGGGCTACAGTGTAAAAATGAAGATGAAGTATTTTGTTCGATACATGATGAACAATGAGGATGATTCTCCATTGTATATCTTCGATAGTTCCTTCGGAGAGCATCCTCGCAGGCAAAAGTTGCTGGAAGATTATATAGTTCCAATATACTTCAGAGATGATCTATTTCAACATGCAGGCGAACATCGGAGACCACCATATCGTTGGTTTGTCATGGGGCCTGCTAGATCTGGTAAGCAGTTGTTGAGGTTAAAATTAAAATAAGAAAATAACATATTTAAATGTTGAAACTTAATTTAAAAACCATGATGATCCAAGTAATGATCATTTATCATATGAAAGTTCTTGCTTCTGTAAATTCATAGCTCAATATTTCTGGAATAGGTACGGGTATTCATATAGATCCTTTGGGAACCAGTGCATGGAATGCACTGATTTCTGGTCATAAAAGATGGTGTCTATTTCCAACTCATACTCCCCGTGAGTTACTCAAAGTATCCGTGGCTGAAGGTGGTAAACAAAGAGACGAGGCTATAACGTGGTTCTCTGTTATATATCCTCGTACCAAGTTACCAACGTGGCCACAAGACTGTCAACCGATAGAAATACTTCAGAAACCTGGAGAGACCGTTTTTATTCCTGGTGGCTGGTGGCATGTAGTTCTTAATCTTGACGAGACGATAGCTGTTACTCAGAATTTCTGTTCACGCACCAACTTTCCTGTAGTTTGGCATAAAACGGTAAGAAAATAATTAAGACAACGTATTGTAGTGAGAAGTAATGATTACTTTAAAAAAATTATTTTCACGCATTACTTAAACTTAATGCAGGTGCGAGGAAGACCAAAGTTGTCGCGGAAATGGTTGAAGGTACTCAGAGTTAAGGAACCGGAACTAGCTGCATTGGCTGAAACGATTGACCTAAAGGAGGATACAGGAATAGCAAGTGATTCTTCGAGTGATTCTTCAAGCAGTTCTTCAAGCAGCAGTAGTAGCAGTCAATCAGAAGATAGTGCTGATGATAGTGGCCAAGAATCCGTTACTGCTTACAAAAAGAAGAAAAGGTATGTTGTATTTAGAAAGGTCAACGAAATGGTTAGCGCAATCTTCTATCCCTTTAGAAAAATCCATTCCTTCGATCGCTGTCACCTGTCTATTCTAAAATTCATGTGTACCGAATACTCCACCAGAAGTTCATGGCATACTTCATATTTTCAATGATATATGAAGCATTTTTCAGAGATGCATGTTAATGAAGTTTTGCGGTATGCATGGTTACTTTATCATCAATTTTTGGTACTTTAAAATTCAAAAACGTATTCAGTGTTATTTCTCAATGTAATATTGTGCAATTTGTATTTTTGGATGCTTCCTACAATTTTGTGAATGTTTCAGGAGAAAATTGAATGGCAGTCAACCCTGACAGTATCCTAAATTTAGGGCTGAAGGAGACCTCAGGCTGTACAGTATTACTCAACAGTTGTTTGTGCTACAAGGGTATATGCACACACTCCTATATCTATGTTCATATGAAAATAAATGCTAGATAATGCCAAACTCATTCCATCGTCTGAATAACTTTTGTCTAAGCATTTGAACTTATATTGAAATTACTTTTTCAATGAGATTTGAATCATTTGAAGGGCGTTGTAAAATTCACAGAGAGATAGGGTATAATTTGGAGAGTAAAGACGATCCTAGTAGAATATTTGAACATATGAGAGAGTCTTTTAATCTTATACAAACCATAGTTTCAAGACTTGCAATATATCGCTGGTCTTCTTTCTATAGAGATCAGTGGAACCTGTACTTTGTATCAAAATGACAAACAATTTGTAACTTTTACAATTTAAGAAATACATAATTCTAATATTGCCGTAGCACGTTTCATCAGTACCCTGGGAAAATTAAATAACTCTGTGCATTCTCCCTTTTCATTCGCAAATATTTCAGAAATTGAAATTCTCTGACATAACTGAGTTTGTTTTAAAGTAAAGCGGAATGAGAATTCTTGAATCGGTAGGTAATGTTTGAATCTGTTGTGTAATGAGGAACGTGTCTATACTGCATGCCTGCAACAGTTTGGTGGAAGATCATTAGGCGATATCATTAATGCCATATAAAAGATGACTTACTCCATTAAATAATTCATGGCATTTTAATGACCTAGACTCATTATAGAATTTTTGTTATGTAAATAGGTCATAACTGCATTTTTTTTATTTATTCAGTGAATTGTTCATAATAACGTTCAACATAACCCTGCATTAATCAAGGAAGGGTTCTTTACTTTTTCTAATTTTATTGGTTACCACCATAGAATTTAACAGTTTAAAATACTTATAAGATATTACACTGTGCTAGTAATTATGTCTGAATATTTCTTGATCTTACTAGAGATACTCATGTCCACGTACTTATCACCAATGGAAACTATCATACCACCAATAATAGCTGGGTCTACTTTTGTTGTAAGTTGGATAGATTGACCTTTGGTCAAGAATTGTTTCAGAACTTGATCTAATTTTCCTTTGGTATCCGCATCTAATGGCTTTGAAGTAATAACTTCGCATACAACCTCCCCTCTTTCAGCAGCCATAATGATTTTAAATGAATTAATAACTTGGTTCAATTTTTGTAGACGTCCATTCTCTGCGAGGAGAGATAACAAGTTTGATGTAGCTGCATTAAAGTTGATTTTATTACTTATAGCTTTTATTGCTTCAGCTTTGATGCTACGCTTAATCGATGGATCCTTCACAAATTCAATCAATTTTGCATCAGTCTTCAGGAGACCCTATTAATATAAGATTAATGTTAAAAGTATATTGAACAGAAGATGAAGCAAAGCAAGTAAAAACAGGAATGAAAGAAAACAAACCTGAAATTTTATCAGATCTTTTTCTACTACATCCAACGATTTTTGCTTAGTAGCAGCAGAATAGAGTGCCGTTGCATATCGTCCTTCTATTCCAAATACTTGAATTGGTGGCTGTTAAAAATAAAATTCATTGAACTAATCATTCATATGCTTATGAATATTAATATTTCAACACAGATAGATAGGTCTTCAATTTCTTAAATGTGATTGCTCTATACATTAACATACCTTAGCAAGTTGCAGTGCAGCTGTTGATGATGAAAACGATCTTGCCTGAAAATATTTCGAATTTTATGAATATACTATCATAAATTAAAGAGATACTAATTTCCTTATTTAAAGAAATCACTCAATCAGATCAGAAGGTGTAAAATCGGGGCAACGAAACTTACAATGATGTTGAATTTGTTGGCTGCCATTTTCCACCTGCCTGCAAAAGTGATTTAATCAGGTAACGGGTTTTTCACAGTATTATTTCGGATTGGAAATTATATGCGTTATTTCGGATATTTTATACTAAAAAGTTACGTAAAAAGAGGCAATGCACAGCTTAGAGTTACGCGTGCAATAGAAGGGTTATCGATTTGTTGAATGCCAGCGCTACCATATTTCGAAAACAAAATTTAGGAGTAGATTGCGGGAACCAGAGCAGAGATGAGCAGAGGTGAGCAGAGATGAGTTGGGAGATTGCTCACGGAAGGGATCGTGCGATCGCATCCTGTGCTGCCCTCTGGTTTCGTACGTTAGCTTTCACTGTTTTTTGCCCCCAAGGGCGGCGCAACGAATTTCTGATATTGAACTCGCGCACTCGCGATAACGGTACCATCTACCAGTGACCGTTGGCGGCTCACGTACTCGTGACGGTAATACCATGCGGCAGTTGACGGTGGTGCCTTACCTACGCTTACCGACACTGCTCGCTTTTGATGGTAAGGGAAGAACACTCGTGACGCTCCATATGATTTTATCTACTTATCTACTACTATTAAGTACATTGTTGCCTCGCAGTCGACGTGATGCGGAG